CAGCTGGCCACAAACAGCTGGCCACAATATGTTTGGTTGTTTGTGCCATCAGCATGCCTGGCGCTATCCCGTACCTGTCTCGTTTCTGACGGTCACGGGCGTTCTGGAGTCGACGGGATGTCTGTCCTGACGTTTCCTGTGACCAGCGCTGACTCTGCCGATCACGGGCGTTCTGGAGTCGACGGGATGTCTGTCCTGTCGTTTCCTGTGATCGGCGCTGACTCTGCCGATCACGAATGTTCTAGAGTCGACGGGATCTTTCTTCCGACGTTTCCTTTGACCGGCGCTGACTCTGCCGATCACGGGCGTTCTGGAGTCGACGGGATCTCTTTTCCGACATTTCCTGTGACCGGCGCTGACTCGCCCGTTCAGGATTATTTTGGAGACGACGGGATCTCTCTTCCAAAGTATGATTTTGCTGACGCTTCCAGACACCTATTCGGCAACTAACGTTCATTCTAAATACATTATTTACTTGTCTTCCTACTTCGTATTTCTTTCCAGATAATCTCCCCAAACAGCAGGGAGTCGTTTACATAATACGACTCCCTCCTATACATCTATAAGTTATAATTATTATGCTTTCGGCCTACATGCGATTCCCGGGCTGGTCGACAGGCGGCCCAGCCAGCCTGCTAGTGGGATCTCGGCCTCGCACACAAATCCACACAAAATGTTACTGCACTGAATGCATTCCCCCGATACACTTCGCATATATACTCATTCTCTTAGTGGTACCGTACTCTCGATGGTACGGGACAGGTACGGGATAGCGCCAGGCATGCCGATGGCACAAACAAACAAAAATATTGTGGCCAGCTGTCTTTGCTGGTACGGTACGGTACGGGACAGATACGGGATAGCGCCAGGCGTGACACAAACAAACAAACAAACAAACAAACAAACACAAAATTAAAGCTGTGTGGAACCTGGCTAGCGCCAGACGTTACTGAAGTAACATCTTCTGCATAGCTACGGGAATTAAAGCTGTGTGGACCCTGGCTAGCGCCAGACGTTACTGAAGTAACGTCTTCTGCATAGCTATGGGAATAATACAAAGCTCAACAAGAATTGATACGTAATGATCAATAGTAAATACGTTCGATATCAAGAAAGGAATAGAGAGGGAGAGTGAGAGTGAGAGAGAGAGAGTGAGAGAGAGAAAGACATACTCACACTCACAAACAAGTACCCCTTGCTCACACAAATACGTCACATACACACACCTGCAGTTACATACATTTATGCAAAGTAAACGGCATGCTCTCATGCACGCACACACATGTGTACGCCTGAGTGTGTGTGCTCAACATTCGTGGACATGCATGAGCACACACACTTACACACAACATGTGCCATGCCATGTTCATTACAAGTAGATTTTGCCTGTATTTTACCTGATGATCAGGCATGAAAGTATACTAGTGAAAATTGTATTCTTGTCTCCAAGGAAATTGTTCATTAATTCCCAAAGAAATCTTCATTGATAATGATCCAGAACTCCCTATGCCATTGCCGGTGTTACCTTTACTCATTAGCTGTGTTTGTTTGTTCCTGTGTGTGTGTTTTGGCGCATGCATGGTTGTGTGCATGGTTGTGTATTTGTGTGTGTGTGTGTCTATGTGTGCATGCGTATGTGTGTGTGTGTGTGTGTTTATGCATATGCGTATTTTTATGTGTTTGTGAATCGTCATGTGTATGTGTGTATTTGTGTATGTTTATGTGTGTTTGTGTGTACGTGGTTTGTATTCATTAACATTACTACTTCCAGGGTGGTAGCACACCATTACACTTTGCAGCATCGAATCATCATGTTTCCGTAGCAGAACATCTACTTAATTCTGGACATTCGTTGGAACCAAAGGATAATGTAAGTCAGGATATCCCTGGTGCATTCTTGTTAGTGTATGAACACAAAAATCAGATTATATGGGTGTACATAGTGCATGTGTATCAGGTCTCATGTTCATCTGTTGTACGCACAATAATACATGCACAATTGGAAAACATTTTCCAAGTAGAACAATAGTTTTCACTATCTTCAACAGCCTATTATTATTATTATTATGAGTCTTTATTCCACTCCAAATTGAAAATAAAAATAAAAATTGGAGGTATTACACTAACTCACCGGACTTATCATAGCCAAAGGTAAGCAGCACGGAATACTATATGGAAAAAAGTAAGGTAGAGAGAGAGAGGAAGGGAGAAAGGCGCATGTACCATCACAGGCATTAAAGCTCAGAGGTATCATGGCAACAGGTATTGCAGAAAGGGGAGCATCAGAAGTTGGCGAAAAATTCAGGCCGGCAAAGCTCATCACTGGGCACAACCTCCAGTGCGCACCCACAGAAAGATCAAATACGAATACCCACAGATATACCACAGTGTTTCAATTACAAACTAAAACGAATACAATAACATACAAAGCATAAAAAGCCCACCAGGGACAGCGAAGAGCCCTATGCTGCACCCAAAACAGATCTTAGAATGGCCATCGAGCCAAGGATAGCAGCCTGCTGCAGTTCATGAAGGTGCCGCTCTTCTCCACATAGCTGCTTAATTGAGGTAGCCGCTTCCTTCGTCAGGCCACCAAGAGCACCAACTATGATGGGCACTACGGACACTGCCTCTCGCTGCCAAATCTGCCCAATTTCCACTGCGAGGGGCAAGTACTTCGCTCTCTTTTCAGCATGTTTTAGTGTTACTCTATGATCCAGTGGCACACTGACATCAATAAGTTGGACTGACTTGCCATCGTCCCACACAAGATCCGGCCGATTTGCTCCAACCATCCTATCTGTAGGGATTGGCATTTCCCACATTAACTTACGGCCTTCACTATCCTCGACGTAGTGTGGCAAGTGGCCAGGGGGAGCAGGAGATACCAGTCTGTAGCGATGACAGAGTGCCCGGTGGACTATAGCGGCAAGACGATTATGGCGAGTAATGTATGCCGTCCGTGCCAACACGGGGCAGCATGCCAAAATATGGTCAACAGTCTCCCCCGGACCTCCACACAAACGGCACACGTCCACCACGGAAGTGTCGCCAATAACCGATCTTTGGTAGTTCCTGGTATTAACCACCTGATCCTGAGCAGCAAATACGGATGACTCAGTGGATGGACGCAATGTTGGAGACTTTAAGAAGTTGAATGAGAGAGGCATGTCCAATACACCGCGACTCCTCTGCCAATAGCGACCATGCAGGGGCTTCTGCCGCAGAGAAGCTTGGGTGGAGGTTCTGATAGCAGACTTAACAACGTCAGTTGTTGCACCTCCGATGTCCAGGATGTTGAAGTGCTCCATTGCCGTGGCCGCCCGGGAGATGATCGACTTTGTAGGCGGAAGATTTTCATGATGAGCATGCAGCGCAGCAATCAGCGGCAGGTCAGAGTGCGCCTGGAGATACCTAGACAGGCGGATGTATTTCCTCTCCAGCAGGTGCTCAACCGATAGAATCCCTCGGCCGCCCTCAGATCTCGGCAGGTGAAAGCGGATGGTGGAAGATCGTGGGTGGTGTGCTCCCACTGCGCGGAGCGCACTTCGGACATTCCTGTCGAAGGTTGCAATAGCATCCTTCGTCCATGGCACAATACACAAGCCATACGACAGCACTGGGATGACATAAGAGTTAATAGCACGAGAGAGGTTGCAGGCGTTGAGAGATGTGTGGGTCACCAGCCGCAATCGCCTCCTGAACTCTTTGGTGGTGGCCACCTTAACAGACTGTTCCGCCATGCCAAAACACTCCCTTATGCCAAGGTAGGCATACACGGAGCCATCCGCCAAGGAGGCAATGCTGGAGGCTTGATCTACTGTGACAGTTGCTGGCTGATCTGGATCAACAGCACCATGTGGGCACACAAGCTTAGCACACTTTGCTGGAGAAAGCTCCATTCCAATGGATTTCCCAACGCACGATACTATGTTGATCATTGAGTTAAGCTGCTTACTGGTTGCGGCCATCAGCTTCACATCATCCATGTACCATAAGTGGGATACGGTTGTTGTCCGCTGAAGTCCGCACGCATATCCAAAGCCACTTCTGCTGAGTTCACCTGATATTGGATTCAATCCAAGACAGAAGAGCAGAGGGGATAACGAGTCACCTTGGAAAATGCCTCGCCGGATCGGTATTGCCTCACTCATGTCAGCTCCCAAGCGCAGCCGGGTACGCCACTGCGATGAGAGCACAGACAAGAGCGAAGTGATCTTGGGGTGGAATTTGTACAGACGTGTGACTTCGACTAGCCACTCCTGCGATAGGCTGTCGAACGCTTTCCTAAAATCCAACCAAGCCATTGCCAAGGTGCGGTGATGACGCCTAGCATCCTGGGTAATCATAGCATTGATCAGCAGCTGGTCAGTGCAGCCTCCTCGGTTACGAGTACAGCCAGTTTGTTCATGGGCCAGAATGTCATTGGTCTGGATATTATTATTATTATTATTATTATTATTATTATTATTATTATTATTTCAGAACTAAATATTGCGACAGAGCTTTCGGCCATATTTTCAATTCATTGCATTCCCAACTCATCACAACCACGCGCTCTTCAGCCGAACCATACAGACACCAGCAAGGACACTTCCGTTGAGAGATAATAATTATTGCTCCACGCCTCTAGACAGCTGTTTCGCTCCCAATAATTATTATCTCTCAACGGAAGTGTCCTTGCTGGTGTCTGTATGGTTCGGCTGAAGAGCGCGTGGTTGTGATGAGTTGGGAATTATTATTATTTATTATTATTATTATTATTATATGCATTCCCGCGGCAGTGTCAACAGTGCAAGTGCAAGTCGCCCATGCACAAATACAGTCCACACGTTCGCTTATGCTGGACATGGTAAGAGAAACAGCTGATATAGGAGACATAAAGACAACAAGCACAAACGTAGCTGTAAATCCTTTGTGTATAGAATGTTTAAAGTGTATTGAGCGATATTTCCGTGATCTGGGAAAAAGGTGACGGCGCGGTTTCATCGCCGCAACCTCTACTTGCGGATCATATCCAGTAGCTGCCTCCATTTGCTTCGAACTGCAGCTACGTCTGATAGGCGCTCCAGATCTTCCAGGCTCTGCAATCGCCCGCACGCAGCTCCGTGGAGGTCGTCGTCGAGCTTCACCGGCAGGGTGATGCGAGGGCGGCCTCTCCACTTGTGGTCATCACATTGAAAGTAGCTGACCATGCTTAGGACGGCGGGGGCATCACTGGGAAGTCGAAGGATATGGCCAAATAGCCTCCACCGAGCTCTGGTGATGATGCGGCTGATCGGCTCTGCCTTGCACCTGTCGTAGAGTGCTGTTGTTGCGATCTTCTGCGGCCAGACAAAGCCGATCAGTGAACGGAGCTGCCCGCGGTGGAATGCGTCGAGTCCACCCTCGGCAGCTGCCATGAGTCCCCATGTGCCGGCGTTGTATACTAGCACTGGTAGTACAAACGCATTGTAGAGACGAAGCCTCAATTCTTCTCCAACGGTACTGCGCCGGCTCCATAGCGACCAGAGCAATCGACACGCTGCAGCGGCTAGTTGTTTCCTCCGAGAGACATCCTTGCTATCCCCGAGGAGTGAGCCGAGCTTCTTGGTGGTGCGCCACTGTTCCGCCACCCTGTCCAGGGATCGGCCCAGAACGGTAATTTCTGTTTTATCCGGGTTTACCTTCAGAGCCCATCCGTTGAGGACGTCACCGATAACCGGCTCCAGGTCACCCAACCAGCCAGACTCTGTGCTGATGAAATCCGCGTCGACAGCCAACACAGCCTAGACAACACTATTGAGTTCCTTGGGTCACCTCAAAAATACTTATAAGTCCAGTGTCTTGATGAGATTTGGTGTATGTTTTCATGTGAAATCGCACTGAACACAATTATGGTTCTGTAAAGCAACCGGCTACTAGATTGGAATTCTTTGGCACTTTGTACACCTGCATAATGTTACACTTCCAGTGGCAGGTAAGATAGTTGAACAGCACAATCAGTCATGTCTTTGTGCGTAACCCGTACAATAATGGTGGTTTGTGTAAATCTGCATGAAGAAGTCTCAGCCAAACTTGGTTGGTTCAATTTCCAGTGGCGTCCTTTCTTGTCCTGAAGAAAACCAATCTACCAACCCACATGGGGAGAACACTCGGGTATGCCAATGTTGCACCAGTTTTTTGTTCATTCCAGGCATCCGTGCTTGGCTTTTGAATTGCCTGCCGTTGGCAGCAGAGGATTGGGCGTATTTTGGAGGCTTCTTTTATAATACTTCCTCCGTTAAGCAAAACTTCGTTGCGTTTTTACAGTTCAGTCCAAATCATTCCATGGCTACGAACACGCTTTGCAAAGTGGAAAAAAATCAGCATATGAAAGATATATAATTACAGATGACACACAGCTCATTTCAAAGCCGTCCAGCTTCACTCTTTGATGACGACTTACACTCACTGATGACATCGAGTCCAGATCCTCACTGACTTTCACCTCCAGCGCTGCCAGCTTTTGTACCACAGCATTTACAAATTGCCAAGACATGATTTAACCGTGGAGATCGCCAAGTTCTTCGCTCGAACTGTGAGCTTGACGACCTCCACGGTGGCGCTGGTAGTTGTGGCCACTCTCCGGAACGCCATGGAAGGAGCCATACAGACCCCAACACACTCTCCCCATCTTCGTAGGGGTGTATTCCAGCCAGAACGTTTCCACACCCTGCAGAAGCTCCTTTTAGGTTTCCTTCACCACGAGTGACACGGCTGTCTACAGGCTGTGGAAGAGCGCCAAGTCGTCGAGGTTGAGATCAGGATTTTGCGCCGACTGCATGACAACATGAATGTCGAACATTTTTGATTTCCCCTGCGCTGCATACAAAAGTGCATTGATTTTGGTTGTGTGCGGATGCGCACCATCGACTCGTGCTAGTACAGCAGTGCCTGAGCGCTGGCCGGCTCCTGGATACTTCTTCGAGCCAGCGGTATTTCAAACTGTTTCTCACTTTCGTACTTTGGTGTCATGCGCGCACGCCTGGGGTTGTGTTCTGGTGACATCCTGTCGAGAAACGGTTCTGCTTCGCCGATTTTTTTAAAGGACTCCACGCTTTTTGGAGGTTCAAAAGCCTGTCAGAACAATGGACGACAACTCGGCTACCCTACGTAGGGGATAGATCACTGACATGTATGTCTAATGCCGACAGAAATATCATGACAAGAACACTAAAAACGCAACGAAGTTTAGCGGAGGTAGTAAGTTCTTACCCTATCCCTAATGCCTTCGAGCTTATCACAGACAAACACGACCTTTTGGGGAAATAGTGTGCTGCTTTGAGTAACTTGTATTGCCATGCAAATGTTCAACAAGCTTGAATGCAACGCCACACTGATGCCTGGAACTAGCTCGCGAATACCCGCAATACACTTACAATAGTTGTGAAGTCAAATACCAAGCAATGGACAGCAGCTGGCTAATGAGGAGCCATAGCTGACTTGTAATGAGCAGGAACAAGTGTAGCCAATGCCGGTTAGAAAGAGCAGAGCTAAACTTCCCAATCTACCGTATGGAAGACGATAGTATTAGAGAAATGGAGTGTAAAACCTAGCATGAAAAAAAGAAGTAAATTACCGTATCTGTTCCCGAAGGGAACTCACGACGGCCGCTAACACCCGATAAATCCTAGCGGCAGATGCAGCGCCTAACGGTGGGGGTGAGTGGATAAGTCTCACAACCACTGGCACAAGTGCGACCCTATTAGCTGCATCCATGTACCCCTTGTGCCTGGCCACAAGTTCCCAGTTGACTGTGGGTAGCAGCACAGCTGGAAAAACCGCTCCCAGGCAGGACTTGAACCAGGTACCTCTCGTATCTCAATCATGGTCTTTGACCAACCCACTGTGCCTGCCTGGTCTAGAAGCAAATAAATATGTTGACGTTGCATGTATGGCACCACAAAAAAGAAAGTGAAAGTAAGCAGTCATGCACATACAAGAGCAATGTCATTATGGTTGGTGTTGTTGTCAACTACCCTGTCTACACTGGCCAACATGCAACACTCACTGCCCACTCGACATTGGGCTAGTTACTTGGTTTTGCACAAGAAGAAATAGAACTGCAGCTGCATCTGCGCCTTGATCCTTGAAGGGTGGTGGCGTTCTTACGGATGCGGAAAACTCGGCCTCTATATATAAAACTAAAAGAGCTAGAGAAAAAGGATAAAGGCTTGCGAACCAACATGACACGGACACAATGGCGACCTACATCATCATGTGCACGCACAATAATACTGGAAAAAGGAAGAACGTCACGACCACAGCGCGAATTAATAATACAAAGCCTAACAATAATTGGTACGTAGTGATCAACAGTAAATGTGCTTGATATAAAGAAAGGAATAGACAGAGAGATAGAGATAGATAGATAGAGAGAGAGAGAGAGAGAGATAGATAGATGAGGTGGCGTCGACAGTTACTTAGTCGATCTATTACAACTCTCCCTCCAGACGCCAATACTCCAGAACAATATCGCATTGGTACTGAGTCACTGCCTCGGCCGTCAAATTTCAGGCCCCAGGCTCCACTATCACTAGTGTCACTCTCATTGTCACTCTCGGCAGGGCTCGGCTGAGCGCTGTGGACATCCGCAGTGTCTGGTAATACAGGAGCTGAGTCTAGCTTCATAAGGTCAATGTTGACCACTTACTCTGCATCATTGGCATGTCTGATCACAATGGTTGATGGTGACATCATCTTCTCCACCTTCCAGGCACGTACGCAGGGTAACCTCTAGAGGGTTTCCAGCCGAATCACAACCAATAAGTTTTAAAAATCTCAGTTGAGGCGTAGTATTAACTGTAGTTAACACGCACCTAACGATCTCTCAGCGCGTGTTAACTGTAGTTAACACGCACGTAACGCTCTCTCAGCGCGTGGCCGCCTGCGTTTACTGCACATAGCACTCCACATTTACCCGTAGCTACTTCAGACTGTATTCCACATCTACCCGTAGCGCTGTCGTTGAGCTGTAGTGCCGCTCACACGCGATGGTCTGCCATGGCGCGATTATCGGTGACACTAGGCTCGCCGTTGCTGTGGATCCATGGGACTGCCATGGTGACTCGCTGATCATGGAAGCTGATGGATTTCGCAACGATCTCCTCAGCCAGCTTCTCTGCAGAGGTGATGTAGGTGCCTTCGTGCTTCATACCGACTGCCTCCAGATTCCAGAAATTCTGGACCAGGCTGTCTATGCTGCATTCGCCGTATAAAGCATGCACATAGTTGACGGACAACTCGTCATCACTGGGTGCACTGGGCGTTGGGCCATACACACCCATCCCAGTGGCGTCTTGCGGGCAATTGGTCCACCGCTGCTGCTTCTGTACTCCGCGAGTGATGCGTGGGCATCAATGACGTCCAGACTGATCAGGAGGTCGACCATGGTGCTGGAGATTTCGGGAAAGTCTATGAACTTCAGATGCTCATAGCTGGACTTGTACCGGCTCCAGTCGACGACCTGCGTCTTCTTGGTCACACGGTCATATACGCATCCTTGAGCGGGTATGACACTGTTCCATCAATGGATTCCATCTGCACCTTGACCAGTTCCCGATAGCTGGAAGTCTGCTGTGCAACAAACGTGGATGTGTTCAACATGTGAACTTCACCTGCCATGTCCAACTCATGGGCTACATCCTCCCGTATGAAGTTTACAGTCGAGCCTGAGTCCAGCATGGCCGTACAGATTGCCGACTTGCCAGTTGGGCCAATAATCTTCACTGGCACGGTAGCGAAAGCGGTCGTCTGTGGCACGCTGACACTAGCATGGTGAGAACTTTCCTGCCGAGGTGCCGGAGCTGCTGACCGCATCGAAGCGGGATTCTGCGCTGCAGCTTGTTGTGGCTGCACTGACTTGCTGTAGTGCCGAAGTGAGTGGTGCCTCTCTCCACAGTGGGAACGTTCCAGCTTCTGGCACTCATGCGCCCAGTGTCCATGCTCCAAACAACAGCTACACAGCTTGGCACGCTTGGCCAGGTCCCAGCGGCGCTTGGTTGTCAGCGCCCTGAATTCCGGACACTCTGCTGTGGCATAGCTCTTGCTTAACTTGGCACACTGCTGAGTACTGAACTCCACAGCATACACAGCAGATGACCTAGGCTTTGGCAGGACCGCAGGAGGTGTCTTGTTCAACTTCTCTGTGCCGACTGTCACAAAGATGTCATCATCTCGCGTTCTGGACCAGTTTTACCAGCCAGAACGACAATGTGGTTGCGTTGCATTTGCTGTCTGGATGTGGTTCGTAAAATCGTATAACTACGCTTCTGGGTAGCTTCTCCAGCGCACTTAGAAATAGCTCCCTACCAGGGGTCTCTCCAGCCAAGTCCAGGTTCATGAGTACATTTCTGAGCTTGACAGCAAATTTCCGCAGGGCTTCTGAATCACGGTCTGCGATTCTGGGATGGTTCAGGATTGCCTTCTCCTGTAGTGCCAGGTGGCGGTCTTCTCCCCCATACCACTGGTCAAGTTCTGCCCAAGCAGTAGCGTATGCGCCTGGCCCGTCAAACATCTGGGCCACAATGTCCTCAGCCGAGCTTCCTTGGAGCGCCTCCTTTAGCCTAGCCAGCTTATAATCGTCGGATACGTAGCGATCCTCATCCACTAGCCGCTTGAACGATTGACTCCATCACACAAACTGTTGCGCGTTTCTGCTAAACTTGGGCAGCTCCAGCGGCTTCAAGTGGTGTAAAGCACTGACCCCATGCGGCCGTTGCATACTGACAAGCTAATCATGCACATGAGGCTCCACAGCAGGTTCCGAATGAGGAGACCACTCAGAAAGTCTACTCATTGGAGCACTATAGCCAACTGACGTTGCTCTGCTGCTCAGACTTCGTGGCTTCGGTGGTGGTGTCGGCCGTGTGTGTGGTGCTGGGATCGGTGGCAAAGGCCGCATGTGCGGTGGTGTAAATGGTGGCACAGGGGTAACCTGTTCTGGGACTACTGATTGTTGGCCTGATGGCACTTGGCCAGAAACAGACTCAACAGGCGAATCCAAAATCGCCTCAGCAGCAGCCGTCACACCACTCTCCTTATCAAACTTCGCCTCCCACTCGTCCAACTCATTCAGCAGTTGTTCACTCTCTTGGGATTCCAACATACTGCGCATAATTTCTAAAACCAAATTCAGCTCTGACCGTACAAATTCCAATTCACGGACATCAGGCTGCAAATATCGGCGAGACGGCGACGAGCAAGCAATCAGTGTTCGCAAGCGGTTACTAATCCGAGTGCGGCGTCTACGAAGGTTTGTTCTGCGACGAATCAATTCTTTCCAGCGGTCCTCAAGTTCCTCAACAGGAGTTTCACCCACGCTCGTACCATAATGGCGTGGCGTAAAACTACTAGTCACAAACTCTGGTGGTGGCGGAAACGCAATTACCATCGCTGACACTACCAGTCGAAACCTGTCGGATCCGGCTCGAAGGACCAAATGTTTCACCGGTTCCCTCGCAAACCCACACTGACATTAGACACAACCATTGGAGGCAT